CTCAAAATCCAACTCCCAAAAGTCTCAACGATAGTGCTCTCGTACTATCGGCCACTAACTGGTGAACCTAAAAAACATGAAAGATGAATGGAATGAGCAAACACAATCTAGTGAGTAATGCATATCTTTTCTAAGTAGATCGAATATTCACTATACATGTTTCAGATACAAAAACATAACTCATTACACCAAATTTCAAGATAGAACAAATTTATAAGAAAAGAATGAGTTATATATATGCTTCAACATAGCTATATTTATAGCAAAAATATCCATTTCATAGTAACAGTAAAACAAATATCAATGGTCCAGCTCATTAATCAATTTTATCAAAATAACACACCAATGGTATATTCCATTGGCCAATCTTGTATTCAGATATCTAACTATGATCACACATGACTCCCCGTGATAAGGCGACCAAGCTCCCTCCCTTGTCAGGGTTGTCACCTATATTGTCGGTGATTGACCCACAAGAATATCATAAACTAGTATGCATATCCACAAACCCCGGTTCACAAAAACACTGAGCATCAATACAAATTCATAACATCCTCCACAATCCACAAAACTAAATCCAGAATCAATATCATAAATTGGCCTAGCAGAATCCTCATCAGGATTGTAGAGGAGGATATATGATGAATGTAAATTTGGGCATTAACCAAAAACAAAGCATACAATCTTTCGTAACTCAACTTATTCACCAGATTACCTTTTGCAATTCATTTCATAAAACACTTCTTAAACATTTCAAATAACAAATAAAGTAGCAAATGCCCGATTCGAAGTTATGTATCAAATATATCATAGACATCAATTTTCCTCTTCAAAGAAATATCAAACATGTGATCCCTCTTTAACTCATAATATATATTCTATCATTTCAGGATATGAGTTTTATAAAACCACAAAAGATACAAGTATCACTTACCTGGAATGCCTAAAAACCTATACGAGCCGACGATTTCGTAATTTTAACAATCAAATGAGAATCGATGTTAAAACTAAGTAAAACATTACATTAACTATGAAACGGCTATACTAAGATTAAACACTAATAAGATGACTCCCACATGACAACAAGTTTCTCACTCAAAGAGACGCGGAACTCGTACACGAAACTCTAAAATTTTCACTCCGACTAAACCGTTGCTTTAAAACGACTCCTGTCAAACCCCATAGTTCCACAATGCCATAATCCATAATTTTCATGAAATCCTAAAACTCAACAACTCAAAAATCGAATTCCGTGACTTGAATTTCACAAAACTTAAAAGTTAAGCCCTAATGTCGAAAATTTATCCAATTGGATGAATGAAGAGTGCGAGCACTTACCTGGCGTTGCGCAATAAGTAATAAATTCGGCTCAATAAGTTGCCCGTTTCGTGTATACGTAATCCCTCTTTTCCTTTCTTCTTCTTCTTCTTTTTCTTTCTTTTTCTTTCTTTCTCCGCGTTTTGCGCGAGCTCTCGATCATGAAAAGTAGATGAGCATCCCTGTTCATTTTTTTTTTTTTGCATTTTCTCCTTTTTGACTTTGAAAAGTCATATTTTACATTATCCTTGAGCCACCGTCAACACCAACGTTTTCCTCTCTTCTCATCTCAAATCAGATCATCTAGAAATCAAGGGGGGTTTCTTGTATTCTCTAAGGCTACGTTTGGTGGTCGGGATAAAATTCAAGATATGATAAATTTTATCCTATTCCGTATTTGGTGTCTGCTTAAGATAGGATAAAGTCGGATATAAGAGAGATATAGCCCGGATAAAATTATCTCATAGGGGAAGTGGGATAAGAGTGGATAGGATTTCTAATATTCATAATATAAAAGTTAATTTTGTCGAATAAAAAACTTGTTAAATTAATAAAATTAAAATAATATTTGAATATAAATAATAAATGAATTTTAATATAAAAAATTCAAAATAACAAAAAAATAACAATAATTTCGTTTTTTATTTATTCTTATTTTTTTTATATATTCAAAATTTATTTATATCTTGTGATATAAATTTCATATAAAAATCAATACTAATGTATTTATATTTATTATATATTTTAGGTATATTTACTATTTAATAAAATTTTATTAGAGAATGATGGAAGGGGAAAAAAGAAATAAAAAACAAAATAATTAAAAAAGAGAGGCAAAAATAATAAAAAAATAAGCAAATAAAAATGAAATAGGTGAGAGTGTCGTGAGAGAGATTTTTATAATCTCCGCTTATGCAATTCTTGGGTTCATTTATATTAATATAACGTTCATAGCAAATAATGAATATGGTAAGATGTGAAAATATTCGGCTTTATTTCCGTGATTCACCGAACAGTAGATAGAATATAGCAAATCCCTTGGATTTCAAATCCTATCCTATCCAATCATATTCTGACTAGAAATCCCGACGACCAAACGTAGCCTAAGAGTTCTCTCTCTTTCGATTCTTCTTGAGATCTATCCCTTGTATAAATTCCTTCGTCATTTCCTAGCAACTACTCTTTGCCAAATTCGGAGTTTTCTTAATAGCCCCGTTTCTCCTATATGTGCTGTTCAGGCAATTTCAGGTAAAATATTGGGTTTCCTTATATTTTGAAAACCGTAATCAGTGCACACCATCAAGGGATTACTGATGGCGATGCTAGGAGGAGGATACATGTTCTAGAAGAGCTATTAGAATTGATATATGCCTTGCGGCAATTCTTGTTTTCACATCTGAGGTTGGCAAAACTTGAAGTTGAGTATTCTGATGCTTTTTACTATCAAAGAACTATCGAAGAAATGCACAAATATTTGGATTTCATTATTCGTGATGACGTGAAGAAAATAGGGAGGCACCCCGGAGAGCCGCTCTTACCATGGTTCGTTCGATGTACGAGTTCACCCGATCCCCATGTTGGATTATCCCCACGGGAGCACTATGCTGTAAGCGCTGCACCCTAACCTTCGAAAGGGGCTTCTTGGGATGGGCTGATCAGTCGCCAAGATCCGACCGAATGCTCGCCGGATATGAGCACCCTCCCGTGTGAGCCGGCTCCGGAGTCCGATTTCCAGCCTCGGTAGGATCAAGATCCCTCCATCGGATGGGGAAAACCGCTCGGGAGTACAGTAGGCCGTCATCAAGTTGAGCTAGCAGCAAAGCGAGCAGAACATAGTCGCATTGAAATCTAGAGCGAAATATCATGGTTGGTCCATTTAATTTATATAATGCATACCCTTAATGAATATCTCCCATTACTGTTTCAATACTTAATCAGAAAAGAAATAATAACAAAAATCATCATATACATTTTATCCACGACTCTACGGTATAGTTAGCTCGGCACTAATTCAAGATCCCTCTAGAGGAATTCCAAGAATGTTTTCTTCTTGCCATGCTCGCTCCAACCTTAAATTCTCTTTCCTGGCTTCGACGAGATCGAATCAATGGAACGCACTTCTGACGAGCATCCCAAAATTGGAAGCTCCCGTATTATATCATTATATCATCAGATCTCGATTTCACCTATTTATAAAATGCGAGCGAAGTATCTGCTTGACCAAGACTCTGTCCATAATGAACCCTCAACAGTCAGCTGCATCCTTGGGGGATTTTTTTTTTTTTCCAAACTTGGGAAGAAGAGTAGGATTTGGAAGAAGATCGACGAAACGTCAGAGAATCCTACCTTCCCTCTTTTGAAACAAAGACAAAAGTGGAAAGGAACCGCGGGATTCAGGCAAGAACAGGGCTCCACGATTGACGATACCCCTCCAAATTTACCAAACGTGGCATACATAATCCATCGGACAGATCCCCAGGAATTTGTTAATTTTCCATTCCAGCTAAGTTCGCTCTCTCGATCTCGCCCAGGTTTCCCTCGTGCTTTCGCTTCGCTTCGCTCACTCGTCTCTCCTCCCCGAACAGCACAAGCGCGAAGTCGTTCGTGCATGCGGGTAAAGTCTATACGGGGGCCAATTATCATCACAGCACCACCGACCATCCGCCGACGGCGTCGAAGGAGGAGGACGGCGGTGCGTGCCCCCGTCGTACGAAACGCGCGCGCGATTTCCACGCCTCGCACGTGGCGGAGATAGAGTATCTCCCCCGGGGCTCCTTTCCACGTCCGGGGGAAAAGTCCAACGCGGTGTGAGGTGAGAGCTTGAAAACTGTCAAACCCACGCTACTTCACATCCGCACGTCACGGAGGAAAAAAAATAGAGAAGAAAAGAAAGAGAGAAGAATCAGCTCAAAATTCCGTGACGTGGTCTCCCCCTCGTCCTCATCGCGACACGACAGCCCCAACCTCCTCCTCCGCCATAGACAAAGTCTCCACCGCTGGAGACGGAGACGTCCCGGCAACCGGGGAATCGCACGTGGCGCTCTCCCCCTGGGCTGACGGCGAAAGGCTCCGTTGACTCCGTTGACTTTGGCGTCCGTTTTGGGATTTTTTCCAAAAGGGTATTCGTCCTCGGCTTTGGATTGGATGGCCGGGGATCAGGTAAATTTTTTTTAGTGGTTGCAAAATTGCAATCCGTTAGATTTTTTTTTGCACCCCTTTTTCTACGCCACCGCACGGAATCTCTGGGGCAAGATTCAGCAACGCCGCTTTTCCCAGGGCGACACGTGTCGGGCTCCGGTTGGGTGGCGCCCCAGCATCGGCGCGCGCCTCGACGACTTCTCCGACCCGCGAGCGCCAAAAAAGATATGAGTTGGCTTGCGCGGGTGATCTGTTTCTCTTGCGATTTCTTAGCTGGGTTATCTTCTGAATTTTATATAAACAAGAAAAGAATAAGAATCTGGGGCGGAGGTAAAAACGGCAAATCCTGGAAGTTATCGCTTCGCAAGGGGTCGATCCTGTCCTCAAGATAAAGCAATAATCGCGGGAGCAATAATTTCGCTTCAGTTCTTGGGCGGTGGCGTCTCTTCTTCCGGGCTTTTTAGCTTTTTCTTGTTTTCCTCCTCTCCTTTTCCTTTTCCTGGTGGTCACTCTCTGTGGCTCTCGCGTGAGGTTTGATCGCTTTTCGCTCCTTCTTTAGTTGATGATCGTTGGTTGAATGATTCTTCCGGGGGGGTCCTTTGATTCGTCTCTGCTTTCTTTCCAGATTGGTTGCTTGGGGGGGGACGTGGGGGCTACGTGCTCTTCTTGGATTGTTTTTTGGGTGGTCGCCTTGGGTATCTGTCAACTTTCGTGTTGCGCCGGGCTGGTGTGTCTGGTTCTTGTTCGGTCAATCGATTCTTCTTGCTTATTTTTTTTTGCTAAAGATTGATGAAAATTCTTCCGGGTCTTTGATTATTTAACTTCCTTTCGAATTGGGTCCCTCCTCGAATGTTTGGCGAATTCTTTAAACCAATTTGGCTGGGGAAGAATCTGAACTTGCGATTGCACTAATTGCTCGGGACCCGTTTGGATTTTTTTTTTTTTATATATACATATGGGAAGTTGCCTCTAGCTTTCATTGTTGTGCTTGCAGGTGAAACCTTGTGCAGATTATAGTCTGAGATACGGGATGACAGTGTTAACGAACGGATTCCTCCAAGGTTGTCTGCCGGAGGAACTGAAGAAAGTGCTTCGGTCGGTGGCGTCCGAACTGGGGGATGTGATCGACGACATGGATGCAATTCAGGTGGTCCCTCTGCAGGGGGCCATGACTAATGAGGTGTACCAGATAAATTGGCCGTTGAATGATGAGCGCGATCTCGTCCGGAAGGTTTTGGTTAGGATTTACGGCGAAGGCGTCGAGCTCTTCTTCAACCGGGACGATGAGCTGCGGACGTTTGAGTGCATGTCGAAGCATGGGCAAGGGCCTCGTTTGCTCGGCCGGTTTTCAGTCGGAAGGGTGGAGGAGTTCATTCATGCAAGGGTATGCTATTTTCTCCCGTGTTAAGATCTTCGAAAGCACCTTTCTCTTGACAATTCCTGATTGTTGACTGGTTATGTTACATCCACCTCGGCAGAGAAGTTTTTTTTCTCACAAGTATTGTTGATTGCACGACAGCCGTCTAATATGAACTTTTCATTTCATTTTTAGTTTTTTGTAATACTTGCGGAAACAAGTGACCAGCATGAACTATAAGGCATAATCCGAATTTTGAGTAATTTAGAAAGTTATAATTTTCACAGTTTGTGGTCTACTGTGAGACTCTCAGCCTCTTTGAATTTAGGGGACTTAGTCTGTCTCTAATGAGTAAAGACAGCTGAAATCTGTTCTTTATGTTCTCTCAATTTCTTAGAACAGTTTCTCAAGAACCCTTGAACAATTATCAACAAATTCGTAGGTCGAGACATGATCGAACGGGTTTTTAAATGTTACTAATGGCTACGTCTGTTGTCTTTCAGACACTCTCGGCTGCTGATCTCCGTGATCCGGATGTTTCTGCTCTAATAGCAAGTAAACTGAGAGAGTTCAACAATCTCGAGATGCCTGGTTCGAAGAATGTTCTCCTCTGGGACAGAATAAGGTGACTATCTCGGTAGGCTTTAACACTAGTAGACACTAGAATGAAAAACAAACATCCTTATGCCTCGTTTTTCCGGTTCCCAGAAATTGGCTCAAAGAAGCAAGATCTTTGTGCACCCATAAGGACGCAAAAGAATTTCGTTTAGATGCTCTGGAGGAGGAAATTTGTTTGCTCGAGAAGGAGTTGACGAGGGACGACCAAGCCATTGGCTTCTGCCACAATGATCTGCAATATGGAAACATAATGATGGATGAAGAGACAAGATTGATCACCCTTATTGTAAGTTCTCCTGCCTTGTTTCAGTTTTTCTGTGTGAAATTTTGTGATGATCATCTGTCTCTGCGCAGTGATTAATTCTTCCGCTTAAATCGCTGGTCTGGTTGTGAGGATGACATATCGTAATAATTGATAGAACACGATCCTCTGTTCTCTTCTCTCATTAGGGGTTCCAAAATTACTTGTCTTTGTATTGCTATTTGAGGGGAACGATGGATGACTTCACATTCTTGCAGTTGATTTGCATCTACTAAAAAACAATGATTATAACATTCTCTATTTCTTTTTACAGGATTACGAGTATGCAAGTTACAACCCTGTTGCATTTGATATAGCAAATCATTTCTGTGAGATGGCAGCAAATTATCATACCGAAACACCTCATATTTTGGACTTTGGCGCTTATCCAGGTGATTGTCTCTTTCCAGTTTTAAACTGCTGAAACATTACACCCTGGTAACAGGATGGTTCTGTGAATCTTCATCATTGTGTTGTACTTTATTCGTCCATCCGTGTGTCATAAAAATGGCTGGCACACCTTCGTCTCGAGGACTAAACTTCTCTATTTATGCATGTCTTTGTCAACAGGCTTAGAGGAGCGCAAGAGATTTGTGCGCAATTACCTTAGCTCGGGAGGTTAGTATCTGTTTCTTATTACACCCATCTGTCTAGAACATGATTTGTACCTGGTTGGTCTTTGATCTGCATTTGCTTATCCATTGCTCATACCTGGTGAATCTACCAGTACTCTTTGCGCCACCTTATATTCTAACTCTGTAGTAAATCATGCTTTTTGTTTGATATGTGTTTTGGCCCGTGAAATCTTTTACTTGATTCTAATCTGTATTGAGATCAGATTGTACCAATATACTTCGTGGAACAATAGTGCACCATTTATCAATATCTAGCGCAAGGCTTTCTCTAAACACCTAGATGAATTAAGACATTCTCTTCCTATCACCATGCTTCATTAAGCTGCATTTTAAGATGAGAGAGCTGGGTGGCTAATGCGCTAGCCACTGGAGCATCAACATTAGACCGAATTGCCTTCATCTTCAATCACATCACAGGTATGTTTTGTGCTTTGTGCAGGCGACCAACCTAACGACACTGAAATAAACCAGCTCGTCGAAGATGCAGAGAAGTACACCCTTGCAAACCATCTCCATTGGGGTTTGTGGGGTATAATTTCGGTATGTTTGCAGTTCACTTTACCTTTTACTTTTTTCTAGAGGCATTTTAATTCATCAAGATTTTGTGTGTGATAATTCATATAGAAGTGCTGAGTCTCTGTTCGGTTGCAGGGCTATGTGAACAACATCGACTTTGACTACAGGGAGTATGCGTGGCAAAGAATTCAGCAATACTGGCTGAGGAAGCCTGCTCTATTGGGCTCGGGCCGTGTTTGCGGTGAATAGATATAGACGGACACGAAGAAGCTCGACCGAATAAGGCTGCCATATGATGATTGCTTTGCCAGAGTCTTGCGTATAGGTCAGTGATGTGTAGTTGGCTTGCTATTTGTAGAATGGATATAGATTGCATGTATAAAAGCATCGAGCTTCTGCGGGCGATGTTGTATTTGGTATGATATGACTCCAAATATAAGAGCAATGGTTTTTGCTGGTTTGTTTCTTCTAATGTTTCTGTGACATCTTGTTCTCTGCCCCTGCCATTTCAACTTTCTTCAAAAGAGACCTCTTGGCAATTTCTGGGTTCATTGTTGTATGAATTCAGGTTTGGAATTCCAATTGCCAAACAAAAAGCTGCCTATATATCTGAGTTTTCTTTCTCTCGGTAAGAAAAGGCAATCTCAATCTCATCATACGGGACGACGACCGAGCGAAAATGACGATCGAGATGTGTTTGATTGATAAACCGGCCTATGTTACATTTCAGCCGGTAGCTGGAATGTCCTCTAATCCTTTCTTTTGGTCTTTGCTTCAATGGTTTTGCAGTGCAGCATCCTAAAAAGATGTTTGATAATGGTTGAATATTAAGTACCCAATAATATTAAATTTCCTGCCAAATTTAGAATCTTCAACATGATTAGTAGGTTTTAACCAAATAAAAATTTCTAACTGCCGTTGAGTATTCTTTAGATTCAATGAATGAAGTGATCTCTTCTTAACTTGAACTAATAATGTAAGTGATTTTTTTTTAATTCAGTCAAATGTTTCAAGTCAAAGCTACTTATGATTGTTAAGCGTGCTTCATTTTGCTAACTACTGGATGTTTTTGTTTTTAGTACTTAATTGAGTAAGCAAAAGTACCGGCCTAGATAATTAACTTAACCCCGACGAATTGTAACCGATCAAACTTAAATTTTCAAAAAGTCAAATTGCAAATGTCATGTCGCGTGACAACGAGGGCCGGTAGCGTGAACATGTCTCCGCTGTATAAGCCCAATATAACGGAGACATGTCTCGTCAAATTTTGACCAATGCGAAATTCTATTTGGCTGCACAAAATTGGTTTTTAGTCTTAACATAGAGAAAAGAATATATTAAAATAAGTTAAATAACCGATACTCGCAAAGAGACAAGTGTCCGTTGTGTAAGTAATTTTTCCTTTTTCTTTTTCAAATTTCACGGCTCGCGCACTTTGATATTCTTGTAAGGAGAAAAAACCTTTTCCGAGTATATAATCTTTTCAAGATTTTCTGAGACTTCTTTTTCTCGTCATCAAAGTTTAGATGGAAAGCGACTCTTCTTCTAAAACAAATCAGAACGATATCTTATTCCAAGCCTTGTTTATTACATCCCCAAGATTACACCATATAAAGAAGGCGAAATCATTTGATTCCATCTCCTTGACTTTCGTAAACAATATGATGACATTCCCTCTTTCCATGTCCACCATCCACCCGCGGGCCATGTGCGCTAGTGCTAGGGAGAAAATTACCAAAAAAATCATAGACTTATTATAATTGTGTCAATTTAGTTCTAAACCTTTTTTTTTGTCAATTGACTCTTAAAATCTTTTGTATTTGTGCCAATTTAGTCCATCCTGTTAATTTTGCCTAGAAATCATTGACATTGATGCCCGCCGTCCTACGTGGCACGATTGGCGTTGCCGTGGATAATTTTTAATAATATTTTCATATTTTTTTCGATTTTTTTTATTTTTCCTTTTTTAAAATTTTTTTCTCATTTTTTTTCTTGCCTTCTTCTTCAAGCTGGTTGTCGGACCAGCCATTGGACCTTGCCGGCCACTGGCAAGGGTAAGCCTTGCCCAACGACAGCAATGTCAAGCCTCGCCAGTGGCTGGCAATCAACTAGAGGAAGAAGGGAAGAAAAAAAAAAGGAAGAGAAAGAAAAGAAGAAAAGAAAAAAATATTAAAATTTTATTAAAAATTGTATACATTAGCGCCAGCCGCACCACGTAGAATGGATGGCGTCTATGTGAGCGATTTCCGGCCAAAATTAGCCGAATGGATTAAATTAACATAAATGCAAAATGTTTAGAACTCAATTGGGTAAAAAAATTAAATAAAATAAAAAGTTTCTAACCAAAAAATAAATTGGCCAAAATAAATTTAAAATTGAATTGGTACAACTATAATAGATTTATGAATTTTTTTGCAATTCTTTCAACTGCTAGGTGTTTCGACCAAAACAAAAAAAAAACCTGCTAGGTGTTCGTGTCATCTGATTTTTTCCCCAATGTTGACACCTAAATTTTGCTCAATCATTTAGGATTTTATTGCATAAAAAAATTAGGGATTGATTTTTAACCCCTAAACAAAAATATTTTCATGGCATATAGATGTTAGACGCATTTGCATTAGTAGAATTTAGTGAAACATATTTTCCTTTTATTTTATTTCATTTTTATTTTATGTAAAAAAATCATTATAAAAATTTAAAAAAAAAAAAGGGAAAAAAGAGAGAAGACAAAAGGGGACGCTATCTTCCCCACAGACAGGCGCCCTCCCTCTCCACACTTACACCCAAAATGAAAAAGGGTGTTCGGCCACAATTCAGAGAAAAACAGAGAAAGTAGAGAGGAGTGAAGGAAGGAAAAAACAAAGAAGGAAGGAAAAAGACAAAAATGATGAATGAAGCCTTTTCCTTTCTTCTTCTCGAAACGCAAGGGGATCTGCTCCTCTCTCCTTCAATACTTTCACAAATAAAAAGAAACAAGTGAGAAAGGACAAGAAAAGGGGGTCTGCGTATTTTCATGAAAAAAAGAAAGAGAAGAAAGCAGAACACGAAAAAACAAGAAAGAAAATGGAAAAAAAAGCTTTACGGCCCCAAGGCTCAAAAGAGGGGAAGTCCATCTGCTTTCTCTCAGGGAATGCACGTCCAGAAGGGGGGCTAGAAGTAAAAGGAGAAGTAAAAAGAGAAAATGACAAAAAAGAAGAAGCTTTGGCTGACATGAAGGGCACTGTCTCTTTGACCGTGCAGTCCATTCACCAAAAGAGGACGTTCTGCACATACTAAAAAAAAAAGGGACAGTGGGGTGAAGCAGAGAGGGGGCGAGTTTTTGAAAAGGAGAGGAGAGACACCGAGAGAGATCTGGAGGGGAATCAGAGAAGACGAAGCTTCGCTCGTTCGTTGGAGGACCGCCCCGATCGCCGTCGAGCCCTCTCCGCTGTGCATTGAGAGCCCACGAATACCGGAGTTAGCCGTTCTCTCATTTTTGGACGTCGGAGCTCCTCGCGGTAGAGACAGAAGGAACCGAGAAAGAGAGCCCGGAGAGGAGTCGCTAGTTCGCCAGTGATCCGCCTGAGTTGCCGTCGGAGGCTAAGCCGTCGGCCGCCGTAGAGTCAGTCGCGAACCAGGTAGGCCCCGGATAAGGTCTTGTTCTGTTTCGGCCTCCCTTCCCCTGCCTCTTGGGTGCCGGGCACACCGAGTCCATTCGGTGATCGCCCGGCCCCGTCGACGGAGGCTAACATTTGTTTGACACTTAGTAAACTCTTTCTAAAGTTGTATGTCGAAAATCGACCATAAACTTTGTCAAAATGAGATCTGCGATCCACTTTTCAGCTGCACCACACCTGTTTGATCAAATGTCCGAACCAGACCACTTAAGCTTTGTAACGTCGAACCTGGTTGTACATCTCTTTGGCGTTTCGGTGCAAGCCGAGTTGAACCCGTGTCTAGATAGGGTTGATTAGAGCTTTATATATCATCTTTGAGCCAAAAATGGCCCTCAATCTCAGTTTTGAGCCTCCGCCTGTATTCGCCTACAAGCTGTTCGATAAAATGTCTAAGTGAAGCTCCGAATCTGTTTTTGTGAAATCAACACTCTAGAACTTTGTCATATGCTCGATTTATTCTAGTCTTGTTGTTGACTTCAAGCTATCTATGTTTCTGTGTGATTTCGTGGCATACTTGTTGATCCCCGTCGTCGGCCGTGGACGAGCACCTTCCGGAGACTCACTCCTCTCGCCGGAGCGATGCCCACGGTTAGAGGCCGCCGTGGTCAGTTTCCCATCCTTGTTTTGTGTGTTTTATGTGTGTATAGATTTAGAGTTTTAGATGTGGTTGAGATGTCGAGATATAAAAAATGGAAGTCGATATCAGTGTTTGGTCGCCGGTGTCCTTTTTCGTGGCCGGAGTTAGCCGACGGTTCGTTGGGTGTGGCGGTCAGCGGTGAGAGTGAAAACCCAATGTCGGTCGTTGGAGTTCGCGGCGCGCGCCGTCGGTCGGAGGCCGAGAAGTGGTCATGGCGTGGTCTCAGCAGAAGAAGAAGTCTCGGTGGTGAACTGTATGAAGAAGTTCACGTGCATGGAAAAAGCACGTAGGGGAGGAAAGAATAATAAAAAATAGAAAAACAGAAAAGAAACAAAAGAAAAAGGGGAAAATCAAAAGAAAAAAAATAGAAAAGAAATGAAAATGGGGTCCCGGGCCGCCGGGCGGGTTGGAATGCCGGGTCAGAGGTCGGGCGGATCGGTCAGGGGATCCGCTCCGAATCCTTATTTTATTAATAAAAACATTAAAAAATATTTAAAAATTCCAAAAATATTAAAAATTCCAAAAAAAATAGAAAATGTTTAAAAATCCAAAAAATATTAAAAAGCCTGAAAAACATTAAAAAAAATCAGAAAAATTCAGAAAATTCCAAAAAATCCAGAAAATTAGAAAATGTTCAAAAATCTTTTTTGGGCTTAATTTCACTAGATATTAGTGTTTTTCTCATTCTAGACTTAGTTTAAAACTTGTAAAAATTGAGAAAACCTTAAAAAAATTCCCAAAAATCGGATAAGCAATTAGGGCTTTTCTTTAGGGCTTTTGATTGTCTTTTCCTTTCTAGAGACGATGTTAGGTTGCTGGTTGTTTATTTTCTTTATGATTATCTAGTTGCGCACTTTTAATACATTGATTGTTATTTTCTATTTTTAGAACGGTTAGGTGGAATCTTAACTTTTTCGATAGGCTGCCCGGTACGTTAGTTTGCGAGTGATCAAGTTTAGGTACCGAAAGGGTACTAGTAGATCGCTAGTGTAATCAAGTTCCCGAATTTTGGAATCTCTGATTTTCGCACGTATCGAGACGACACTCCCGCGTCTCGATTAGGGTTTCTAGCCGACCCTTGATCATGGCTAGTGGCAACTCCAATCGAATATGTAAATTAGACAATTCTCGTCGCGTGAGGTATGAGGCTCGGGAGTGCCTCGGTCCTTGACAAATACCTCTTGGCCTAAATCCGATCGGTTCGGGTAGGTCGCGACACCCAAAAGGAGGACTGATTCCATGGTTGAATATATTTTTTTTGTTAAAAAATAATTCATGGAGCACGCAAAAATCTCTTAAACACAAGGGTAATATGCAACAATTAAATATCTAAAATCTACTCGTACGAATTCATTATTGATCTTATTAAAGACGACCTTTAGGGTGTTTCTTACTTGACAAATAAATTAAAGAAACGTAATAATTTTTGATGCACTAACTTTTCGTCGTGACATTCGTATCCATTATCTTTAAATTCGAAGTTTCTTGTTAACTATTAAGAATAGTGTTCACGAGCAGCGTATGGAAATAAGACTCATAACAAAAAAAAAAAAATAAAAATGAAGTATTGAAAGGAATCAGTATATTCAAGATCTCATCTGATTTGGAAAGATGAATCAAGTTGTCGAATAAAGAGAGATATAGACTAAGTTTAAGAAATCATGAGAGATTTCAAGATCACATCGAAATTACTTCAGTTGATTTAGATCAAGATATTATCCATTGTATTGTAAAAAACAATAAAATGCATCTTAGAACTTCCAAGTGCACGCACGAAATTTTCTTGTGAAAGTTCGAAATTGAAATCCAAAATCTTTCTATATAATAGAGAATTAGACAAGTTTAACCAATTCCCATGTAAACTCGTAATCATGACCATTATTGTTTGACATCATACTAAGATAATGGTCGACGTATATGATATCAATGCATGCTGATATTGGGACCGTATCTAGAGATTTTGGAAAGCAAATTAATGAGAATAGGAAGAGGAATCCTATTGAGCGATGAGTTGGTCAGCATGCTTATCTTTTGTCATAAATTCTTTTCCATGTAAGGGAGATGCAAGAAAGGGATGCCAATATCCAAAAATTTAAAGGAATCAATGAATGAGTTGAGATGTTGAGTTTTAAAAATGGAAAACAATCTTCAATGGGTTTCAAGGGCATTGGCTAAACCCTCCATGACATTTGGCACTCCACTCGTTCACACACGTCATTGCTGCTGCAGACACCAGGAAGCGTTTTGAAGGCTTGAAGAGGAGGGGCAGCTTCTCTTTTACAGTCTCTGTATCAGTTGAGGCACTGACAGAGAGAGAGATAGAGAGAGAGATAGAGAGAGAGAGAGAGATCGAGATTGATACCAATGGCACCAACGAGCTGGGACTTGAGACTGGTTCCAGATTTGAAGGATCGGACAAACATGGAGTGTCTTCCCGTCTCAGTGATACCCACTGTTCCAGTCAAGGAGGTCCCTAGGGTAATTCTCTCTCTCTCTCTCTCTCTCTCCATTTTCTTTTCTGTTCTTTTCTTTGTTGAATTTCACATTTTTAGTTTTTTTTTTCAGACGGTGATGGTTTTGGGTGTTTCTCCTATGTAGATAGATCTATGGAAGGTTGTCTTGTTTTTTTGTCTGAAACAGTCATGTTCGCATAAACTCAACCTTAATTAATTAAGAAATTTGCTCTTGCCATTAGTTGTTTATTTGAGTTGATGACTTCTTATACCCTACGTTGAGATAGAATGGACATTTTATAAAAAACCAAACCCCATCACCATTTAGGTTCCATTCGTTTCACGAAAGCATTTTCTAGATATTCCGCCTATTGGTTCATGGAAAATAAACTAGAAACATTTTTCACAGATAGAAAAAACATTTTCCGCTTTTTACTTTTATTTTTATTTTTTTAAAAAAACTGAGTTTTTAATTATTTTTATTCTTTTTTTTTATTTCCTTTTTTTCTTTTTTTTTTCTTCTTTAGCAATTGGCCGCTAGCCATGGCGGTAGCCGGCGACCAGCCACGGGCGAGCTCAATCCTTGCCACGGGCCACCGAGGCTCGAGCTCATCAAATTCTGACGAGGTCGAACCCCGATCCGAAGAGCTGGGTGAGGCTCGAGCCTCGCCCGTGGTTGCTAGAGCCTCCTTGACCTCAAGCGACCTCGACCTCGCCGAATCTCTGCCTTGCCATAGGCCGGTCGCCAGCCATCGTCGTGGCCAGTGACCGGCCGAGGAAAAAGTATAAAGAAAAAGAAAGAAAAGGAAAATAAAAGAAAAAGAAAAAAATTAAAAAATTCGCACTTTTGGTAATTTTCTCTAGAAAATCAAATCAAAAAATCAAACGGCGTAAAATATTTTCTAGTTCATTTCAGGTTTCAACCAAATACCGAAAAATATTGTTATTATCCTGGAAAATGATTTCTTGGAAAACATTTTTTAGAAATGTTACATTTTCTGCGAAACGAACAGAGCCTTAGTATAAGTGTTGGCATTGACCAAAATAATAATAATAAAAGAATGAAATTGGGACCAAAATGGTAAAAATCAATTTTGAATGAAAAGGCTAGATAACCGAATCCTGTCCTCGATCGTCAATATTTGGTTAAATCGAGATGTTTGGTTCAATTTTGGAAGTAGTATACCCTGTTGAATGATTCCTAGAAACGATATAATGATTGTGAAACCGGGGTTCCCTTTCTCTGGGTGATTTTCAAAGATTTATATCCAGAATAGTTATCATATACTAATTTTAGTCGATTCAATTTACTTGTTTGGGTTATTCACTATGATCTTGATATGAATTTGATGGGCATTAAGATTGTGCTTCGATTGTTCTCTTTCATATGTTTTAGCGAAATAGAGGAATGCTTCGATTCACGACTCCAAAATGAAGAGGTTACGTCGCGCAAAGCCTTGACTCGACGCAGCTAATTGTTTTGACACGCAGTGATAAGCTTGTCGCATTCAATTGCAAGACGATCCACGAATTTCCTAAGATTGCGACACGAACATGACAAGACCCTATACGTCTTAGGTTGTGTTGGACGTGACTAGAAAACTAGAAAAACAAATCCTAATGATGTAATTCTTTCTCCACAGCCAAGCCATGCGGAAGATACGAGCGAATCGGATGAGAAAGACCTGGTGGACTCGTTTTGCCTTGGTGATTTTTGGAAAGCTTATGAGGAGTGGAGCGCATACGGTGTGGGCGTTCCGATAGTACTGCCTTGTGGCGAATCGGTGATGCAATACTATTTCCCTTCCTTATCAGCCATTCAAGTGTTCACGTACCAGAAGTTTCCGACGCCTTTCAGGTCTCTAGTGATACTTACTTTCTGCTAAATCTGTTCGACTGCGACCCTTTTGTTACATTTGCCAAAGTAGATTAAAATTAAGTACTTAGATGTAATAGTTGTTTTCAGAATTACGTATAGCTTTTTCAAGAACGGTCGCAAATAATCCTATAATGCCGATTAAATTTATGTCAAATGGTTGATGAATGAAGATTTTCTGGGGAGGGTTCTTCAATGGAGTATGAGAATGATGCTATGAGTGATGGAAGCAACAGGAGCGGATCCTCAGAAGTCCTGAGCACCGACTCCTTCAGCAAAAATCTCTTTCAAGGCAAAATCCTACTTACCTTCTTGCTGATGGGTTTTGGATTTTTAATATAATTTTTTGTTAATTGAATCATAGAAGTGTTTTTTTTTTTTTGAATTTTTGTTGGCAACTTTCAGACTTTGATTTTGGCATTCAAGAAGGGTCAGAGACAGAGGAAACGCCAGAGTATCATCACGGGGAATTGTATGTTCAATACAATGAGGTGTTGAATCCATATGCTCGAGTCCCCCTTACTAAGAAGGTAGCAAACCTTTGGATCTGCTTAAAATTCATGAATAAATGTTTTTGTTTGCCAGGAAATGATGAGGACTTTAATTTGGTCATAATTCAATATGGTTTTTGTAAATGGCGGAATCTTTCTTAATTTAGATTAAAGAGCTGGCAAAGAAGTATCCTGGCTTGACAACTTTCGAGAGCACAGACCTCACTCCATACAGTTGGGTGGCCATTGCTTGGTATGTATTTGTCTCTTATCTCTTCACTTGCAAGAGTAACTAGTTAGCTAGTGGTAATCTAGTATCAAGATAAAAGGAAGGATTGCCTAATGAACTAATTGATTCTTGTGACTGAACTCTTTCATCTTTTGTTGCTTTAAAATTTAATGCCGAGCAAAATATTGTATGGTCCTTTATATTGTCAGGTACCCGATTATACAGATACCGGTGATGAGAAACCAGAAGGAGTTATCTGCATCTTTCCTTACTTATCACATGTTGTCATGGTCTACTCAGGGTTTGTTCTCTCTCTTTCCCCGCATGCGCGTGCAGACTAGTAACTAGTTAATGTGTATATTTTCTCATTCTTATGTTCATGATTAGTTTCATTGCATACCTACTTTATCGCGGCTTTGCGGTGATACATGACCTAATCTGTAGCACTTTTTTGTTCTCTCAAATGTCATGTTTTTCGAGCTTCCCTAGCTTAAACATATGCGCAATGCTACCTAATAAATCTGACTAAATTGTTCTATCAGTTGACGTGACAATTTCATATAGTGTGCTTAATCAGGCTAATCAACCACTCTATGGGGCTCAATCCCCAACAACACTCTACCGAAACTTCTCATATCACTCAATAAGTACGATTTGAAAGGATCTGATGTGCCTAGCATTTATCTAGTGAAGTATGTGAATTAGTTCTGTAGATTGAGTTCTGATAGATGAAGTAGTTAAATGGACACAACCTCATTGTACTCTTTTTCAAAGATTAAAAGTTCATCTATGGGTCAATATATCATTCAGCTTTTGTAGTACTATGATTTGAAAATGTTCTAAAAGTACGAATACTTCATGTCCGTTCCAGATATAGTATTCCTACAATTTTTTTGGCGTATTCCGAAGGCGCACAATAAGCTAACTAGCTAAGTTCTTAGAAGCTTTGTTATTTCTTCAAGGAATGTGATCGGCAATTATTGATGATGCATAGGTTTGGAAAATGTCATACCAGAAGACAATCAAAGACTCGAATGCATCGTCCCGCCAAAAGTCGAATCTAAAGCTCTAAAAAGTGGTGACTCTAAGATGTATGAAATCCGAATTCCTCCATTCGCAATGAGCACGTACAAGATGCATGGAGCTTTTTGGGTCGATCCAAAGACACTCGATCGCGAGATGATGTTCTCATACCAGCGTGCCGCTTGGTTTTGGTTGAAGGAACACAAGTTTCAGCACCATGACTATAACTTCTTTGTGTCTCGTGGTGTTTGATTAGTTCTTAACAACTCTATGTCTTAAGTATTGTCGTGCTGTGTTGACGAGATGCCAGCTCTTGTTCAATGATTAAACTTAATCCGAGGGTGACCGCTAAAACTCTATATGTCACTGTTAATCTTACTATTCTTTCTATAGAACTAAACTATACCTATGCAATGCTTTTCTTTGCTACATGTTTTACTTCTTATGACCTATATCTTGCATGTTTGGATAATTGAATGCATGGAGCATATAAGTGATTTTTTTTCTAGCACACTTTACACCACATATCAGAGCAATTAATTTTAAGCAAGACTACTTCCAAATGGTGCCTCCGTGCAAAATAGTAAAAGCTTTAGAGATATATGCCACTAAGAAAATATGTTGGATTATTGACACGGTACGCATAAACGGATAGTAATCACATAATAGGAGATATGAGAATATAGCATCACATATCATTTTGTGAGTTCTTCTTAAGTCACTACTTTACTAATTAGGAATTAGGTCCATTTGGAGTGATTTTTACATTTTACTTTTTTCTTAATCAAAATCTCACGGCTCATGCATTTTGACTTTTTCAAAAGCTAGAGTACTTGAAACTTTCATGAAATTTAAATGTTGAAATGTAAACTCACATAAAAGTTTTTCAAACTTTTTCGATCTATTTAATATTTTAAATTTTGGCGAGAAAGAAAAAAATAGTAATATAAATTTATATCTGTGACGCCCCAGAACGTCACGCGCAACACGTACCAATTAATATTATTAATAAAATGGCCAGCGGAAGTCAAAGTCTGAACAAGTTTTGTCAAAATACTTTTGCTTCTCATTAACAACACTTGTGAGAATTACAAGTCTAGACAATACATCATAAAATCACAAAGAATAAACATTTGGCGTAGGTCGAGGTTGCCTATCTCCATACTACAATTTACTCCAAAGACGGCCCGTACAAAAGTAGACTTTACAACGAGTCATAGATGTCGTTGCCTTCATATCAACCTTTATCCCACATCAACCCATATAGTAGATATACATCTAGTACAAACTATATCCGCCCTCGGGACAAGCATATCAACGTCCTAGCATTCATAGTATTTAGGGAAAAACCAGCAAGCATTGGTAGCGGATTGTCCATTCCTACATGTCTGAAAAATAATGGGATGAGCCGAGGCCCAATAAATGAAGTCTCTAGTTTTAAGTTAGGAAAATCAGCTTACCACTTCACCTGGCATAACCACATGCATAATAAACAGTATGCATAGCCACATTTCACAATACTTTCACTCAACCACAAGCATATGAAGTAAAACATTTATGCTCATGCGATTAGGTTCATTACTTCATCCTCCCGAACACTCCCGGGGCATCTCGACCAATGGGGCATCTCAACTCCGAGGCATCCCGGCACACACTCGGGGCATCCCGACCAACGGGGCATCTCGACTCCCGAGGCATCCCGAAACACTCCCCGGGGCATCCCGACCTACGGGGCATCGTCACACACCACTAAATGGGCGACGGAATTAATATTATTCTCATGCAAGCAATGACAACCAAGTATTTATATGCAAAAGTTCGCTTTGGCCCGTCCCATACCGTGCCATCACTGTTTTGTACTTTAAAATCATGAAATGCATCATCCGAGCAATTAAATATGAAGCAATACATTTCAAACTCAGAAGCAAACTCAGCTCATAAGCAAATTCGGGTTCATAAGCAAATTCGAGTCATCAGAAGCAAGTTCGGATCATTAGAAGTAAAATCGATTCGGTCATCAGAAGCAAGTTCAGACTCAGAAGGAAGTTTAGAAGCAGGACCGGATTTAGAATCAGAAGCGAATTCAGACTCAAAAGCGGGTTCAAACTCAAAAGCGAATTCGGATTCGAAGCGGGTTCAAACTTAGAAGCGAATTCGGATTCGGAAGCGGGTTCGAGACTCGAGGCGGGTCGGACTCGAGGCGGGTTCAAACTCGGAGCGGGTCGATTCGAGGCGGGTTCGAGACTCGGGCGAATTTAGACTCAGAAGCGGGTTCAGACTCACAAGCAAGTTCAAACTCACAAGGCTAAAGTCTGAAGGTAAAATCTGAACGAAAAGTCTGAGCAGTAAAGTCTGGGCGGTAAACTCTGAAGTAAAGTCTGAACAGTTTAAAAAGTATACAGAACCATATTTTTTTGACAGTAAAGTCTGAGCAGTTTCAAAGATATACAGAATCATCATTCCTACTCACATAATATACTTCACATTCAGTAAAACGATTTTCTACCCTTTTTAAACATACATAAACCAATAAGAAGAATCCAACAATCACCTCAAAGATAACACTTACACGATCAGATTTAATCGTTTTACTTGCCGATTTTCACCATACTTTAAGGAAACAAATCACATTTATTTGAACGTACACAAAACCAGCAAAACAGATTCAACCATCATCACAACCTCACTATTGCACATCAAAATAACCTTTCTCAAGCAACCAAGTTAAAAGTGCGAAGTAGATTTACTTAGCTTAAACCTAGAGTTTTCACTTACCTTGGGCAGAATTTGAACACCCAAAAGTTAAAGCTCTCTCGAAAATTCTGGATCGGTGATGGTGAAAGTAAAAAGTGAAGAAAGGAGTTACGATTTGGTAAAATTTTCCTTCGGTGATACCCAGATAAATGAAACAGAAAAGTAGACGAAGGGGTGGATAATTACAATGCACTCATAGGTGGCATCTTCTCTTTCCATCATGGCCAGGTGTCAGAAATCAGGAAAGGAGTGGTGGCCAAGGAAAATGATTACTTAGGCTAGGTGTCTAGCTCAAGGGGACAAATGGCATTCGGTCAACCTTTCATTCAATAGTCACGTGAGAGAAGAGGAGTCCAGAAGAGATATTTTGAGAGAATATCTCCCCCCTTTCCTTAACGGCAATTTAGAATAAAAGACTAACACTACTTAACCAAAATTAACCAATAATAATATTACCCACTAAATTCCTAAAATAACTGTAAATTAATTAATACCGCACTACGATTATCGCACACAACAACGTTTAAGATTTTAATTACGACGAGCTCGGGGCGATTACGTTTCCGAATCCGCGCTTCGGATTTACAATCCAACAACGATTTTTTATGCGTCCGCACGAATATTAACTTAAATAATACTTAGCTTTATAATCCAAATATCATCTTCGAACATAGAAAATTTCCAACGTCAATTACTTATTGTTACGAAATTTTCGAATGTCACAATATCAATACCTTTTTATATGTTAATAGTAATTTTAATCTTAAAAAGTTCTACTTTAATTAGCAATAAAATAAATTATATGAATTTACTTTCCATATTTTTTGTTCTTTCTATTTGTAAAATTAAACTTAATAAAGAAATAATATGTCAACATATTTTTGTTCTTGTCAATTTGTAAATTTAATTGTAATGAGGAAATAATCTAACATTTTATTTATTTATTAATTAAAAATTTATTTTTTTAACATTCGGGTTTTAATTTAATTTAGTTGTAAATTAAATATGTTTATTTTACGTTACTCTAGTAACTTCATTTAAATATTTTATCAATATTTCAATATAAACTCCATGAGAGATTAAATTTGTGGAGTAACAAATCAATAAAAGAGAAATTAGTTGTTGATTGCACGAAGCTTATGTTTGGATTTTAATTATATATGCTAGATTATATCTTAAATAATAACGATTGGGCATAATGTTATAAATTATTTTAATAGAGATTAGTATGAAGAGGGTAACTAGGTGCGAGCCCAGTTTGGGTGGAGATCAATTTTGGGGATTAAACTATCTAGAGAGATTTTGTCCGTTAATGGGGAACTACCACGATTTCCCCACCATCGATGAAAATTTTGAGTGGTATATTTGATGTCTGCAGTATGACATATACATTTGAAGTGAGTTGTGATTTGCATATTGGATAGCACCAATCCTGGAAATCGAAATATCCATAAATGGCCGGCGGACTTCTGAAATGTCAAAAGCAATTTGTTTTACGTACCACCAAAATTAAAAAATAATTTCAAAAAATCAAGAGAATATTTTACAAGAATCTAAATGTCAATATAAAATAAATTTCAAAGGTTTCAATCATTTTACATTAGAAAAGTGAATTCGGGTACGCTGCAAGATTAAAAGCAAAAAGTAAACTCCAAACATTCTCTAATTCTTGTGAGAATTAGAGAAGGCTATTTGTGAAGCGCTCCAATAGTTACCACTATTGTCTAAATGGGGGAACTATTGTCTAAATAAGCAGCAAACTAAATTTGTGAAATTAATAGGCCTCATCAATTACCAAAGTCAAGCACTTCTTGAAGGCATTCTGGAAACTCATGTCATCATAAATGCCATAATTAGGCGCCAGTTTACTACAATCAAATCATATGTTACATTGAAATGGAGAAAATTCGGGATCAACGAAAATAAAAATAAAAAAGCCCTAGGCAAGCAACCTAGCTATTATTTCCTCAAGATCAAGAATAACTAAAAAAAGTCAAGATTCGTTATTACCTTATCGAGATATGTAATAAATAACTTGGTATCTTGTGAGATGCAAGATGATACCAATATACCTCGTCCCGAACGATTAAATCTTTAGTTTCCTAAAAGGGTGTGGACTGGGTGTTCCTTCAACTCTTTGAGAAATTCCGGAAATAACTCTCAAGAACGTTAACAAGCCATTGAAAAAGAAGGTAAGTTCCTTCTCCCCATCTTTTACAGTGACAGCAGTTGTTCCTTTATTGCTTCCTTTGATTCTTAATCTGTTTATGGCACTTTTTATTTATTTATCAGAATCTGTTTATGGCACTTAATTAACTGGTTGTGTGTCTTGGTTAGGATTGTAAACGGTAATTAGTTTTTCATACCTTTTCAATCTTTTTGGGGGGACGGAAAAATTGGTAATATGAAATTTCTATCGCTACCTTTTTATGTGTTATTAGTTATTTTAATTTTAAAAAGTTCTACTTTAACTAGTCATAAAATAAATTATATGAATTTACTTATCCATATCTTTCGTTCTTTCTATTTGTAAAATTAAACTGAATAAAGAAATAATACGTTGAGGTGAGTTGTGATTTGCACATTGGATAGCACCAATCCAGGAAATCAAAATGTCCATGAATGGACGGTGGGCTTCTAAAAAGTCTTAAAGTAATCTATTTTCCTTACCACCAAAATTTTAAATAAATTATTTCTAAGGTTTAAAGCATTTTATATTTAAAAAAAAAGTGAATTTGAGTGCGCCGCAACATTCTAAAAAATCAAAATGTGAACTCTAAAAATTTTCTAATTCTAATGATCATCAGAGAAGGCTGTTTATGAAGCGCTTCGATAGTTACCACAATTGTCTAATTGTGGGAACTAAATAAACAGCTAATTAAATTTGTGAAATTTTCATTGGAGCGCTTCCTAAAGACCGACTCATCAATTATATATATATATTGCATCTTAAAAAGGAATCGAATAATTCTTTGCTTATATCAAAAAAATGATAATTCCTTGCTTCGGGACACCCTAGATCACATTCCACGCAGTATATCCACAAAAAGAGGAAGGAGAACCTGAGCATTGCCTTGAATTAAAAAAACATAGGTCACTAATATTCTTTGCCTTTGTCCATATTTTTTTTTGGTCGAAAACGGCCCACTTTCATTTAACTAACAGAACTGGAATCCACAAATAATGTCAAAACATAACAAATCCCAAAGGGGTTGGGAGAGCTTAGACAGCCAATTAGAAGGGAGGTGGCCTAATCTGGGTGAGTTTGGTTCAGCATTCCCAAAAGGCTTTCGGCCTCGAAAGCCCCTTGAGGAAATGTTGAGGCATTTGGCGAGCATTTCCAATGGGATTTCGGCCGAAAGCCAGCAGTGGAAATGCTGAAAGCCCAAGGCTGGTTCGGACTGGCTTTAAGCTTTAAGCATTTGCCTAATGCCGAAACCAATTTTTTTTCTTCTCAAACTACCCTCACTAATTCTTTAATATTCCAATGTTGCCTCTCGTGACTGTTCATCTCCTTTGGGCTGAGGGCAGCCGGCGAGGGCCACTTGGGTTGTGCGACCGAGTCGACGGAGGCCTGAGGTCGTGCGACCTCAGGCCTCCATCGCCTGGGGTCGCGTGACCCTCACCGGTGGCCATAGCTCTAGCGCCGACGGTCGTAGCCCATCGCCGACGGTCGTAGCCCATCGCCGGCTCCGGTAAAGGGTAAGCTTTTTTTTTTAATAAAAAAAATCCCAAAGCCCTTTGCAAAATAAGATTTGCCAAATACTACTTGGGCCAAAATAACTCCACAAATGATTTTTTATCAAACGCAATTTGCATTTCCCTAAGGAGCTTTAAGTTAAAGGTATTTGCATTCCCCCAATGCCCATTTGCAAAGCTGAACCAAACTCATCCTCTAAGGGCCTTTACGATCCCATCTGCACAACCATTATCTTCACGTGGAGAGAATACAATCTTGACACCCTTTAGCTAGGCCAAAAGGCCCTTACAATCCTCGATGAGATTCCTGATGGGCTTCACTTGACAAGAGCTTCACAATTGATAAGCTATCACTATGGAGTTCTATTGGCAAATCAAAGCAAGCACTCCTCAGATCAGTTCGCAGCTTCACCTCTGACAAATGTTGAAGACCTTCGCGAGTAGCTAGGGTTTCCACCATTAAAGCTGATTCAACACGGACTTGCTTTGCAAAGTCATCGACGAGCACACCATGAGCATTTCTGTATACTCCGGCAACTGAGGCCTCTGAAATGCTGTCTATCCATGATCCGTCGACGTGAAGCTTCCACGAGCCTTGGTTCGGCAGCCTCCACTTTGCAGGTGAAAAAGACCCATCCTTTCCTTTCGCTTTTATATTTGGAGACCGAATGTTTAGACCTCTGTCCATCGCGAAGGCTTCATCCACAACCAACAAGGGAATTGGATTGTGTGCTTAAAAAACAAAGGAGTTCCTGGCTTTCCATATCAACCACAGGACGCTCACTAGTAATTCTCGTGTAGGAATTGTTGATTCCCCAGTCAGTACTTCAAATACCCATTTGTCTATTCTTATAATATTCTGCGAAGACGTGTCAATGTTGATTCTTGGGTCAGCCCATATAATTTTTGCCCATTTGCATAGGAAAAACAGATGTTCTACCGTTTCTGGGGCTTGCTGACAAGGGGGGCAGATTAGGTCAAGTAAGCTCGTCCGTTTATACAAGTTTTCTTTTGTGGGTAGTTCATTTTGACACACACTCCACATAAAGAAGCGTACCTTAGGATAGAAGTTCAGCTGCCATATCATAGACCATAGTACTCGAGGAGCCTGGTAAGAAGATGATGCTCGGTTTGTGCTTGAGTCCTTGTTTGCTGCTTAGATAGAGTTATACCTACTTTTAACCGTAAAGGACCCATCTTTGTTGCCCGTCCATGGTAGCTTATCTTTAGCCAAAGTGGTACTAAGGGGGATAGCAAGAATTTCTTGCACAATGTGTTTATCAAAAAGATCGAGTTTCCAGCTTCTGGATGTTCCATACATTCGCTTCTTTGTCAATTAAGTCCGCCACCATTAGGGGATCCTCACGGTTAGCTGGGCCACCTATCAAGACAACTGAAAGCCACCTATCCTCCCGTATTTTGATGTTCTTTCCATCTCCCACTACCCATCTCATATTTTGGTCAATTGAATCTTTTCCTAATAACAAGCTCTATCATCCCCATGAGGGCCGAGAGCCCTTACTTACCTTCCAAAAATCTCTTTCCGGGAAATAGATTCCTTTTAAAATTTGACTCCAAAGGGTTGAAGGGGATTGTGATAATCTCCATGCCTATTTGCCAAAGGAGACGAGGTCCTTGAAACTGAGAGACCCCTTGTCTTTTCTGGTTTTGCAAATATCTCATCGTTTTCAGTGCCCTCTTGTCTTGGAAGTGTTTTGTTTCCACTAGAACAAGGCAATCATTTGTTCAACTGCTTTACAAACATAAATGGGTAATTTAAAAATAGACATGCATATTGAGGTAAAGCTTGTACCACCGTCTTGATCAGGATCTCCTTACCAGCCTTTGACATCAGTTTCTCTTTCCACCCCTCAAGCTTCATATTAACTTGCGCAAGAATCCAAGCGAACATATCTTTCTTTGACTGGCCCCAATCCGACGGAATGCCTAAATACTTCCCCGTCTTGTCAATTATTGGAACTCTTAGCTCATCTGCCATATTTATCTCTAAACTCTGTGGACTCCCATTACTGAAATATACACCCGATTTGTTTAGGTTGATGGCTTGACCCGAGGCAAAACAATATTGATTCAACACATTCGTCAAATTCTGACACTCCCTAATAGTCCCATCCAAAAAGAAAATGGCATCGTCCACAAATAAAAGATGAGAAAGTGTAGGGCAATGTCTATTCAGTTTAATCCCCTTGATACTTCCATCCTCAATTGCTTGGTGCAATAGATAGGATAGAACATTTGCCATAATTATGAATAAGTAATGGGACAAAGGATCCCCTTGTCTTATACCACGAGTCGGCTGAAAGTAAGGAAGTGGTTCGCCATTCACCTTAACACTGAAGGTAATTGCGGAGATGCATTGCCTTACCAGGGAGACCTATTCATCGCAAAATCTCATTTTTGACATACATGCGCACAAGAAATCCCATTCCACTCGGTCATAAGCCTTCTGCATATCTAATTTAAGCAAAGCTTGGAATTTCCTCTTCCCTTTCCGAATTCTCAATTGGTGAATAACTTCCTGAACTATAAAAATATTATCCTGAATTTGCCTTCCGCTGACAAAAGCACTTTGTTCCATAGCAATTATATCAAGAAGCCAAGGTTTAAGGCGATTTGTCATAACCTTGGAGATAATCTTATAGTTGAAGTTGCAAAGGCTTATTGGTCTATATTGAGAAATACATTCCAGGGTTGAAACTTTAGGAATAATAGCAATGAGAGTTCTATTGAGGGTGGGGTCGAGCGTACTTGAGCCGAAGAAGTTGTTGACCATCTTATACACATCTTGCTGTAAAATTTCCCAATGGTGGTGATAGAATTGCCTATAAAGTCCATTCAGTCCGGGTGCTTTAGTTGCTCCCATTTGAAATACCGCATTTTTAACTTCCTCAAGAGTGACCGGAGCCATTAGGGATTCATTCATTTCATCTCCAACAATGCCACGACATGTGTCGAGAATCGGTTGGAAATTCATGGGGCCCAGTATTTCATAAAGAGATTGATAAAAACCAGTAATGTGCTGTTTCAGTTCGTTTGGTTCTCTACTCCAATTTTGCTCATCAATTTTCAACAAGGAGATCCTGTTCCTTTGTCTTCTCTGAATGGTAGTAGCATGGAACAATTTCGAATTTCTATCTCCTCATTTAAGCCAGTTAATTCGAGCTTTCATACTTTAGTACATCTCTTCTTGCCTCCACAAATATTCAATTTGTTCAATGATGTGCAAAGAAACCTCTTTACTAGCAATATTCTCCGTACAATTGGTAATTGTCGTAAGGTTCCCTCGGAAAGATTCAATCTGTCTGAACGCATTAGAGACTTTTCCTTGCTCCATTTTGCCAATGCCATGGACACTTTCTTTGTTTTAGTAACGAGATCCTTCCCAAAATTATGCTGGTCTCCCCAAACTCTTCTGGCTATCTCACTACATTTCGGATCCTTCAGCCAAAATGCTTCAAATTTAAATTCTTTCTTCCTTTTGGGCTAGGCTGGGGCAGTTGAGAGTAGAATTGGGCAATGATTGGATTGGAGTCGATTGTGGGTAGCGCATAGACTTCTGCATTTGGAAACAATACTTTCTAGTCAAGATTACATAATACTCTGTCCAATCTTTTTTTAACCAATGCCTCCCCTTCTCTATTATTGACCCAAGTGAAAGCACAACCCTTGCTTTCAACTTCCATGAGTGAATAGTCACGCAAGAATTCCCTGAAGACAACAAGTCTATAGTAGTCCGCTTCTCTTTTCCCCACCTTTTTCCAGTGATATAAAACCTCATTAAAGTCTCCAACTACCATCTAAGGAAGGTGATTAAAAGAGGACATGTATCTTAAATATGTCCAAAGAGAAAGTCTCTCCTGGAAGTTAGAGCATGCACAAGAGTAATTCTCATCTTCTCATTACTGTCTAGATCTTTGCAAATCACATCAACGAGATCCTCCTTGCTATCCTCAACCTCCACCAATACCCTCCTCATTCCACATAACCACTAATCCCCTAGCGATACCAATTGGGTTAACTAAAGCCATATTCTGAAATTGAAGTCGTCTTCTAACTCTTTCCACTGTTGGTTCTTTATTCTTCGCTTCCATCAAGAACACTAAGCTGAGCCGGTCTTGAGCCACTAGCGCTTGGAGATGCTGGAATGTCAAGGGAGTGTCCAAGCCCTGACAATTCCAGCTTCATATATATCCTAGTGGCTTATTTGGGCTAGCCACCAAAGCCCATTCATTTGCATTTTTAACATACTGAACTGGTGTCTCCAATAAATGCTTCTCATCAAAAGACTGAGACGGTGTATCTTGTTGCCCATAAGGATTTAAGCATTTCAGCTTCTTAGTAACAGGTCCTTTCAGGATCCTTTTATCTTTTTGTGGAGGTATTACCGCGATAGGGTCATTAAGAGAGCTCTGCATCAGGACTTGAGTATCCTATCCTCCTTCTGGTTGATATTCCAGTAACCACTAAGGGGCGTCCTTCCTTTTGTCTCCCTGATGTCTAGAGACTACATGCTACTGATAGGTTGGTATTTCCAAGATCATCTCCTCATCATCAACAATGGGCACCTCCTTACCAAAGAAAAGTTTCCAATACGGGCTGTATTTTCGTGCTTCGGTTTTCAGCCAATAGCCAAACTTGCCGGCAATATTCTCTTCTAATCCCGACTCTTCATGAGGTATCTCCTTACAATAGGTGGCATAATGGCCGATACGACCACAAGAGTAGCAAAAGTGTGGGAGTCTCTCATATTTGTAGTCTACCCATAACTTTTTGTATCCCAAATTCTCGATTGTCCCAGAGTAATTTTCTAGCTAGAGTTCAAAGCTGACAACCAAAATGGTTTTCCTTTTGTAAACTCAAAAATATCGATGAAGAGTTTGGAAGCCAAACTTCCATTAGGTGATCAAGAATCTTGAAGGAACACTGTCGATTTTAGTCCTCGAGCTGGCTTCCAACTTAGGTATTCATTGTATATGACTGACCAGCGAGAATATGTGAATTTGCTAAGTTCATTGCGACACAAATCACTGACCACCGAAACACTCCATTACCGCTTTCTATAACCGCCGCAACGAATTGTAACCTTGAAGAGGAAAAAAAGACACTATCTTCTGAAATTTGATTCACAGTCCACAGCCAGGGCCGGGTGCATCATTGAAATGACTCCTGCCTCATCAAGCAAGGCCAGATAGAGACCATAGATTACCAATTATCTAGTCGATATGAGTATGAGAGCCTCCAGTAGCTGCAAACATAAGATGTTTCGGCACCTGTGCTCTATCGAAATAGAACGCACCTGAGACCAATTTGTCTTTCGGCTGTAAAACCAACCGAATATTTGTGTTGGCACCTCCCTCTTTAGTTCTGAGCTTGCCGGAAAGCCTTATCAAACAATAAGAAAGATAAATAATCAGAGTAAAAAAATAAAGCCAAGTAAATGGGAGGCAGTGAACTAAGAAAGTAACCACAATTGAAAAGATTGCCATACAATTTAGAGAAACCGGGCAAGCTCTTGGCAACTCCCGGTGTCTCAGCCCAACCAGGTGCATCGACTAGAAGCCAATCCCTCTCTCCTAGTGAACCTCAGCCCACTTTTCTGTTAGTGCTACCTAATAGAACAGATAGGAGTTAACGCTGAGTATGAACTGTGACTTCGTCTATAATGAGGCTTCATGCGGGCAGCACAACCTTTTTCAGAGTTTTTTCTTAATTCACAATCTCGTCTTTCTTCGAAACATCGGATTATCCACTGTTGTATGTTCAAAAGTTCTCGTCAAATTTAAGAGTCTGCTTCACACTTGAATCTGTTGCAACTTGTCAGCTCAAATTCTTTTCAAACTTCCATTAGGTGATCA